TTTTCAAGGCAGCGAGCGAGGCCCATTGCATCATCAAAATGGTAAAATAATTAAAAGTACTTTTTTCATACAACATTATCCATGTTTCTTACTTATCTCTTGGTTTTCATTCAATAGTTGCTTTCCTTCCTTCCCCTTCCCTTCTTCCTTCTTCTTCTTCTTCTTCTTCTTTTTTCCTTCTTCTTCTTCTTCTTCTCCTCTTTCTCCTTCTTCCTGTTCTTCTATTCCAAGTATTTCTTGGATCCCTGTGCAAAATTCAGACCCTGGAATAGGAATTAGAGAAGGTATTATTTTCTGATGGGAGACAAACCACAAATATTATTATTATTATTATTTCTTCTTCTTCTTCTTCTTCTTCTTCTTCTTCTTCTTCTTTTCTTCTCCTCCTCCTCCTCCTTCTTCCTGTTCTTCTATTCCAAGTATTTCTTGGATCCCTGTGCAAAATTCAGACCCTGGAATAGGAATTAGAGAAGGTATTATTTTCTGATGGGAGACAAACCACAAATATTATTATTATTATTACTTCTTCTTCTTCTTCTTCTTCTTCTTCTTCTTCTTCTTCTTCTTCTTCTTCTTCTTTTCTTCTCCTCCTCCTCCTCCTTCTTCCTGTTCTTCTATTCCAAGTATTTCTTGGATCCCTGTGTAAAATTCAGACCCTGGAATAGCAACTAAGAGAAAACTGGTTTATGTCAAGAGAGTTATTTGAATATATCCGAGTGTTGCTAGACACCAACTACAACAAAACTAAAGGTTAATTTTTAACGGGCTTTAAGCTGTTTGTTACCCATGGCTGGGTACCTCTGAAAACTTCGTTAGTTAACAGTTGTATAATGAATGCTACGTTATGTTCCAGTGAAGGAGAACATACCTTTGGGAAGAACGTCCAATGCACTCTTGAAAACGGTCACCCAGTTTTATTGTATATACCCGTGATGGCGAACCTATGGGACACGGGCCATAGGGGGCACACAAGAGCCCTCTCTGCGGGCACGCCAGCCATCGCCCCAACCTGGCTCCACCACGGAAGGGCATGTGCCTCCCGCCAGGCAGTCGATCTTCCTAGTCTCTGCCGTCCATGTGCAGGGCCAGTGGTGCAATTCAGCCGGTACTATCCGGTTCGGCCGAACTGGTAGCGGTGGCGGCAAGAGGCTCCGCCCACCTGCCTCGATGTCACCACGTCCCGTTTTTTACGGTGTGCATGCGCGGAAGGTCCTGTGCATGTGTGGAGGTGGTGTGTGGGCTCACATTTGCGAACCGGTAGTGAAGGTAAGTTTCACCCTGGGCGGGGCGCATGTGCGGGGAGGCCCTTTCGTTGCATTTTGGGGGTTCTTCTGTTACGGATATCCTAAAAGGAACACCCGCTCACCTATTTTCAAATACCCCTGAAAGCACAAAAGAAATGGAAAGCCAAAGATTTGCCGGGAATATAATTTTGTTATTAAAGGTTTTAATTGCACTGATAAACCTTGTTGCTTGAGAGCTGAAATAAGGCGGCAGAATTTCAATTTATTTGACCTCAGCTGGGAAAGTGTGGTTGGTCTACTGGCTTTTTTTTTCTCCACTCTTCTGGGGCACATCTGCAAATGACCCTGTAGGTGAAATTCACACATACGGAACCTGAGAATAACCAGGATCAACCAAACCACTAACATTCCCTACGTTGCAGGAATATCGGAAAGGCTCAGAGGGATCTTCAGTCAACATTGCATACGTGAACACTTCAAACCCAAGAATACGACACTAAGGCAGAAGCTTCTCCACTTGCCCAAGGATAAAACACCCAGAGGTAAAGTGAGCAATGTGGTATATAGGCAGAACGATGCAGTGAGCCCTGGGCAGATCTGTCCATTGGGGAAACAAAACAGCCACTTCCCACACGCATGGTGCAACATAGGAGAACAAAGCCATCAGGACTAGATTCAGAGATCCATCTGCATTTGAAGACAAAGGCTGCTCTTTTGAAGACAACAAAGTCCACATTTTGGGCAGAGAGGACCACTGGTTTGAAAGAGGAGTTAGAGGGGCCATCTATGTCAAAAGTGAACAGCTTTCCCTCAACAGAGGGGGAAGAATACAACATTATCTACCTCCAGCCTACAACACGGTCCTTTCAGCAGCTTTAAGGCTCCACACACCCCATTTGCACCACTCAGGTGACCCTGAAGACACAGATAAACCTCCCAGTGGCCTCAAGGACCCTCTAAAAGGATGCAAAAGACCAGCTGTCTGCAAGGAGCATCAATCCTTCCCTTCCCCACCATCCAGTCAGAGCCGAAGAGGCTTCTTGGATGAGAAGTGAAACATCTTCAAAGAAAAACCAGAAAGTTCCAAGTTGCCTCTTGAAAAAAGCACCTTTGGGACAACCATGACCTGGAGGACGGAGAATCTCCAGGCACAGACCACTAACACTAGAGTTTTAGAATTCACCTGGCATTGTAGAAGAGCAGGAAGTGCCGGGTGGGTGGAGTCAAGGGAGAACGCAGCCTAGAATCGTTACGTCTCCACAAATGTTTCAAGTCCAACCACTCTTGAATTCTGTTAACTCTTATCAGGCATCAGTTTAGCGCTGGCCATTATTAGTTGACTAGATTTTTGTTTCTAGGGTTCCAATCTTCTGAACTGGAACTTATGTGTGATACTTCGTGCCTCACAGCCGTGGCATTTTACATATACTCTCCTCGCCACCCAGCCTTCGCTGCTAAAACTTACAAAGACGTTGTTAAGCAATTTACTGCGTTTATTTTTTTCTTGGAAAAGGATTCGGGACAATATGCTCGTTTTGTAAGCTACGCTGAACCGCCTTTGACCCGCTTTTAAAAAATATTATATTTACACAAACCTCACAAAGGGGGGAAAAAAAGAAATCCAGCAAACTAAAATGACATCACTTGTTGGGGGGGGGAGAAGGGAGGTGGAGGGGGAAGAAATATTCTGTACATTTTACACCCAAGACATGGTTTGAAAAACGATGAGCTCTAAAAATTGCTTTTACACTCATGTCTTGCGAAGGGATTGTTTAAAACAGTCCAACTTTTCCCAGCGTCCTTTTGTTTTTCCTGTCCTCAAAAGTGTTTTTATTTTTATTTTTGACAACGCAGCCAGGATGTTAGTGATCGCTCAGCCTCTGTCGAATGTTTCGCGATTTCCCGTTTTCAAATTTCCGCTTTCTGAAAACCGGCTTCTCTTCCGTTGCGTCACCGAGGGAAGTGACGGTTTTTTCTTTGAAGATGACTTTGGCGTCATCGGGGATTTCCACAACCGGGCCGCTGTTGATCTCCTTACTCGGGAGCTCCAGGTCGACCTTCTCGCTAAAGGAAAAGGAGAAATTTGTTGAACAAAAGCTATTTGGAACTAAAACTCGCTCCGATACGTAGTTGTATATGGATATCTTTTCACTCAAGTCATCTTCTTTTAACGACCCCATAATCCCTCGCGGGGTGGAGTCTGGGAAACTGAAAGGAGCTGGAGTGTTTATTGCCCTTCCTGTCGCCAATATGGGGTTTTTCCCCCCAGCAGATATATTCTCAGCGTGCCCAGAGAAATGTCTGCCTCTACCTAGGATTGAACTCTGGATTGTGAGGCGAGAACTCCACCTCTACGCCACCGGACCAGAACCCGTCAGAACCTGCTGGATTTCACCCCTGGTCTATCTCTATCATCTATCTCATTTCTATCTCTTCTCTTTCAATTCCATTCCTCCCCTCCCCCTCTTCCCGCCACTCCCCTTCTACTCTCCTCTCCACTTTCTAAACCACCCCCTCCCTTACAGCATCCTCCCTTAGGCAGGACGGTATTGCAAATGAAGATCACCCAAACGCATGGTCCCCCCCCCCCCCCCCGTGAACACCGACTAAGCAGGTTCCTTGCAGAGACAATAATATCTTCAGCCACCTCGGTTCATATTGTAACTATTAACCAGGAATCACAAATATGTATGTATGTATGTATGTATGTATGGGTCTTTGGTTATTCGGGTTTTCTCCCGCGTAAAATTGGAGGTGTCTTGGCAACGTTTCGGCGAGGTCTCACTCACCATCTTCAGGCTGGGTCCTGACCTTAAAGCGCCTGTAAACCAGCCCTAGTCAACAAATAAGCCTCATCCACCACCCAGGCCGTTACAACACGAAACAACAACGGACACACAGCCAGCATCAATCAGCACCAATCTACCAATCATGATACAACCACACAACCAATCATTCCACTTACTGAAACAAAGCCAGCACTCCATACACCCCCGACCATGCTTTAAGTCCAAAACTTAAAACTTCAGGACCCGGCCTGAAGATGGTGAGTGAGACCTCGCCGAAACGTTACCAAGAGACCTCCAATTTTATGCGGGACAAAACCCGAATAACCAAAGACTCACATACTAACACCCGCGAAAGAAAACAAATATATATGGCAGGTAATTTGGATACTGAGATTATTGGTGTCATGCCCCACCCCCCCCCCGGCCCGTACAACACGAAACAACAACGGACACACAGCCAGCATCAATCAGCACCAATCTACCAATCATGATACAACCACACGACCAATCATTCCACTCACTGAAACAAAGCCAGCACTCCACACACACCCCACCAAGACTTATAGAAAGACGGCAGCTCCAACCATGCTTTAAGCCCAAAACCCAGCCTGAAGATGGTGAGTGAGACCTCGCCGAAACGTTACCAAGAGACCTCCAATTTTATGCGGGACAAAACCCGAATAACCAAAGACTCACATACTAACACCCGCGAAAGAAAACAAATATATATGGCAGGTAATTTGGATACTGAGATTATTGGTGTCATGCCCCCCCCCCCCCCC